CCAGGACTCCTCCGCGGGGAGGCTGCTCCGCTGAGGCCCCCGCCCGTTCCCCGCGGCCCGGCCGGGGCAGCGGCGGGGCGGAGGAGCCGGGCGGGCCGGGGCGGGCCGGGGCTGCCCGGGAGCGCCGAGCTCGCCGTCCCGGCCGCCGCTGCCCTGCGCACCGCACGCACCTCATTACCGAGTCAGCAGAGCTGCTTTAATGGACTTGTGTGCAAAGGCGCTTTCACGCTCTATAAACGTTGGGTCCGAGCGTTTACTAATTAAACTCTTTCTATTTAGAAACACCTGCGTTTTAGGAAAGCTTTCTGAACGCTAGCACTGGTGAATTTCCAACCTGCTGCAGTCTGAGCTTGTCATGCCTAACCTATACATCGTAAGAGCACTGGAAAGCATGTGAACCCAGAGGTAAAATCCTCGCACAATGCTCCTCGCACAATGTTCCTCAGACTTTCATACCTAGGCAGAAAACAAATCTATGATGCTGTTGAATAATCTCCCAATAATTGTAGTAATTAAAATCATCATCCAGTCTGCAGTCACCTTCCTTCCTTTGACACCAGTCTTCCCTAGAATTGTTAACGTGTCTCCGGCTGAGATAAACAGAACAAGGGAGCTTTAAAATTCACAGTCCAAATAAATTTAGCGGAAGAGAATTAATTCCAAAGACACGCTTTTGAGTGCGTTCAGTAAACGACAGGATTTCTGAAACGACTGTGCAGATTTTTTAAACACAGGGTAATATGGGTCTCCCTGCTACTCCTGAACAGCGTCACCTTAAAGATCGAGAAAATATGAAAGCCCAGCCTGATGCTCCACCTCGGGGCTCAGTGTGCAGGGGGCAGGAGGAGAGGGGAGTGCACCGTGTAACAAACATCATATGAAAGATCAAGCAGAAATTGTGGGAGAGTGCCATAATTTTCATTTAATTTCCATTATCTATTTGATCCCAGTGCTCATTCCCTTTTTATTAACTATAAAAGATTTCCTTCTAATCAAAAGCTGCACTTCATCTTTACCCACAAATTAAAAACTCCATAGTGGAAAGAATTCAGTGGACTCAACAGGCACCAAGGTCGGTATTTTAACACTATCTCTATTTATACTTCCCCCTTGTAGTATCTAGTCTTGGGCAGAATAGCAGGGGAGCCTTTTCCTAACTGAAGTTATTAATTTATCACCAGGTACCCCTCTGAGTTGCTCTGATAATCAATGCTGGCTTCTAGATCACGTAAATGAAGAGTGTAATTGAGGGGGGAGGGGGTTCCGCACGGAAGAACTGTTGCTAAAAAAAAAAAAAAAATCTGGCAGGACGCAATTATTTATCTCGGCAATGAGCAGTTTGCCTGTTTCCTGCCCATGTCCCTTCTGTTTGGCAGAAAATTAGGCTTCTTCTCTTAAACTTGGAAGGGTTTGCCCCCTTCCTACCCATAACTGCCATGGGTAAAACTCCGTGCCCCTCCTAGAATGCAGGGGAAATTGTACAGCAAGCTTACATTTAACTGCTGCTAAATCGATTTATTTGGAAAATATTTGGCAGCTCTTTCCCAGAGCTCTTTTTGAACAGACGAGCCATTTCATCTGATGCTCTTGAATATAAACCCAGGAGCTTCCCAACCATCTGTAATGAAAGAATTGTTTCCCAGCTCTACCTCCTAAAGACAGCAACTTTAGTAGCTGCACACATCAAAAGACACTCGTAGAGAGAAGATGGGAAACAATATTGTTCAAAGAAAGTGAACTGTTGCATTTAATTAGGCTATTCTTTATTAGCATTCATATTGAGATTTTTTTTTTTTAGATTTACATTGATTTAACTGTAATGTATTTATGATGTAAATATATTCTGAGATGAAAACGTCACGGATCAATTGTAAAGGACCCGGATACATAATTTTTAAAAATCAGTTTCAGTTTATATGAGGTTCTCACCCCACTTTCGCTTCTTAGTCAGATTTGTTTATGCAGAATCGACATTTAATAGTGCTAATTGCACTCCAGTTAAATTGCCCTGATTGCAGAAAGGGAAGCAATTTTCGTGCTCTCTGTCTGGGTTTGGAAGAAATTGTTTTATATTCACCTCTTTATAAAGAAGTGGAGATAAGGCACCGAGCCTTTGCACAAATTGCACTTATGGGCTGACTGGCAGCATTCAGGCTCTATAATAGAGCATTATTTGGCCGTTTTGAATAATGTAAAGCATTTGCTGAAAGCTATTCTCCTGAAAATTGCTTTAACTTTTAAAAGGGTGATGATTCACTCCAAACCAGGCCTTTGTTACATTGTCATTATCCCCCCAAATGTTTTAACAGTCAGCTCAACACTTTAGCATAACACATTGATCTTTGTTTAAAAACTCGATTTTTGGAGTATGAAAAAAATCTGTCAGAAAATACTTGACCCCCTAAAGATTTTAGCAGCGTTCCCCCTTCCGCCGCCGTTCGCTCAGCCTTTGCACCGCCTGCCTCGTTCCTGCGGGTTTTAGTTACTTTTCCGACTACAAAGGGGCGAGGAGATGGATGTGCGGCAGGCAGAGCCGCGCCAGTCCTCAGGCGCAGCAGAATCCCCACTTTGCTGTGGGAGCGCAAGCGGGCAGCGGATGCCTTTACTCGCTGATGTAGAGGCAACATTTTTAAACGTCACGCTCTCGATCTGCCTTCCAGCCGTATTTTATTGATGACTTTCCCCAGGATGAGAGGAAAGACCCTCTCCCCCCGCCGCCCTGGGGTTGGCCAGAAGCGCCGCGCTGCCACTTGACGACCACCATGGCAGGCTCCTGGGAAGGGAAGGAGCGGGTTTCCCCGGAGAAAAGGAAGAGGAAAGAAGGAAGGAGGGAAGGAAGGAAGGAGTCACCTGTTGGGCGATGGCTCCCGGGTGCCCTGTGGGACTCCTCGCCTCGCCCGTGGGGGTTATGTCGCTCCCCCCGGCACCGCCGTTGTGCCGCCTCCACCCGCCGAGCGCTGCAGCCCCCTGGGTACAGCCGCCGCTCAGGAGCTGCTCCGGGCAGCCCTTCCGAGGGAAGGCTTTGCCACGCACCACCCGGACCCCTGCGCCGGCTGCGAGTCAATGTGGAAAGAATTAAGCGCGGAACAGAATTTTTTTCACCTACTGTCCCGACTCTGTTTAATACCCGGCGACAAAAAGGCGAGCGCCCTTTGAAAATAGCCTTAGACGTTTAAATAAAAGATAATCTCCAGGGACATCCATGGCAGTCGTCCTACAGATTGCATAACACAATGTAGAAAAAACCGCAATGCCCACCTTATTTAAGCACACACACACATATACATGTAAACATGTGAAGAAAAGCGAAATCATAATCTCAAATTCCCGATTTCTCCATCTTGCTCCTAAGCGATGCCTATTTTGCATCTGCTAGAAGGTTTTACACTGGATGGCTGAGGCGGCACCGAGAAGGAAATATTGACTGAAATGCAGAGCAAGGGCCCGGCATTGCTAAACGCACTCATCATATTTCTGGTTCAGAATTGTACCCAGCTGCCCTGGGAACGGCAAAAAGGAAGGGGAAAAGCTCCTATTCCCATTCTCACAGAGCCGACCGCGATGATGAAAAGTTGCACGCCTATTGATCTTCCGCGGGCACAGTACGGGCAAGTTCTAGCCAATTACTTAAGAAGCCTCCGATAATTACAAATCAAAGGGACTAGCTTGCAAGACATTGAGGAGCCGAGGTTTGGACTTACATTTTGCACATGCAGAGAGCAGGTATAGTCTCTGTCGCTCACTGGGTGCGTGGAGTGTGCACAGTGCAGAGGCCACAGGCAAGTGCTAGGGCGGCTTATTCCAGCAGCGCCCTAGCACTGCTAGGAGGGAGCAAGCTTTCTGCCATTAGCAGCACTGCTTCCACGGGAGTATATGAGGCTTGAAAAACGTGCTGCAGGCTGCGAATTTGACTTTCAAAGTGTTTTGCTGGCGACTACTCTGTAAAATAACGTTCTCTATCCTAAGCGACAGGATGTCAAATGCCCCTGGTCCCCTCTCCCGCCCCAGTACGAGAGCAAAGAGATGCCTGACGGTTCCCTGCCTTTGGAATTTTTGGCACTTTATATAACCACAGAGCCTCCTCAGTTCTTTTTGCAATGAAAGTAAGAAATACGTTGTGCATGAAATCACCTCAGGCATTTAGTAAAGAAAATAAACAAAAAAATTAACGTGTTTTCACAGAATGTCATTAGCCGCTGTTAGGTTATTTGTATCCAACACGGACGGCTCCCAAATGGCTTGAGAAGGAGGCAAAGGGCCTGTTGAATAAAAGCGACGCAGGTATGGTTTACGGGCCGCGAGGATCGCAGGTGACTACACCAGCAGCAGCGCATCGGACACCTCCTGCACAGTTTACAGGAGACGGCGGAGCGGCGTCAGCCGTGACACCAGCCCTCCGCCGGCGCTGACCTCGCTCTCGCCTCCTGCCCTCTGCGGCCGGCCGCGCTCCCCGGCGGGCAGGCGGCGCGGGGGCGGCGGGAGTCGCGGCGCGGCGGGAGGCGCGGCCGGGCCGGGGCCGGCGGTAATTGCGGCGCGGCCGCCGCGGGCCGGAGCCGGGAGTTTTCTCCCCGCGCGCTGACTGGCACGCGCCCCGCGCCCCGGCGCCGGCACCTCCGCGCAGCCTGATTGGCTGCCGGGCCGCTCCGGGCCGCTCCGCCCGCGCCCTCATTGGGCGAGCGCCGCCGCCAGCGGTACTTCAAAGCGGGCGCTGCCCGCACTTAGGCAGAGTTTGGCCCCGCCGCGCCGGAGTGTCCTTAGTGCCGCCGGGCAGCGCGGGGCGCTCACCGAGCGCCGTCCCCTCCGCCCCACCGCCCAGCCCACGGACGTGCTATGGCTACGTCTATCCTCGGGGTAAGTCGCACCGCGCGCTTCCTCGCGGCTTCCCCCCGGAAAAACTGGCGTTGCCGCCGCGTTGCGGCTGCCCCTTGCCGAAATGGCGTGGACCCGCGGATGGGAGGTGATCCCGGCCCGCCTCGGGGGATTTCATTGCGGGCTGCCCATCGGGTCGTTCCCAAAGAGTTTAGCCTGAAAACTCGCTGGGCCGGAGAGAAGCTGTGCTGCTTCTGCTTTCTTTTGTCTAGTTCTTGATTTGGTTTGGGATTTTTTTGTTTGTTTTTTTAACTCTTAACTACGCTCGATTTCCAAAGATTTTCGCCGGCCCGGCGTTGCACGAGGCGACAGTCGGAAGGCTCCGCACACTGCTCGCCTTGCTGCCATCTCTTTTTTTTCCGTCGCTCCTGTACGGTTGCTCGAGGAGACGCCGCATTTCGTTCCCACGGGATTTTTGGTTTAACGGCGGTACGCTCGAGCAGCCCTCTCGGAACACGCGTGTCGCTTGTCCCCGTCGGGACCCGCTTGCGAGGTAAATCTCTCGGGCGATGAGACCGGTGTCCGGCGGAAAACGAGTTGTGCCCAGCGTGGCGGGGCTGGAGCCTTCCTCTAAAATAAGAGAAAACTTTTCCGCGGTACCGCTCGTTGCGCCGCGGTTCTACCCGCGCTGCCGCGTCCCCGCGGGAGCCTGGCGAGGTGGCAAGGGTTAGGCTGACGGGCCGGCTTTGTCTCTTCCCGCAGGAAGAGCCGAGATTTGGAACGACTCCCCTGGCCATGCTGGCCGCCACCTGCAACAAGATCGGCAACACTAGTCCCCTGACCACCCTGCCCGAGTCTAGCGCCTTCGCCAAAGGGGGCTTCCACCCCTGGAAACGCTCCACCTCCAGCTGCAACCTGGGCTCCAGCCTCTCGGGCTTCACGGTGGCCACGAGCAGGGGTTCCAACGGACTGGCCAGCGGCACGGGCACCGCCAACAGCGCCTTTTGCCTGGCTTCCACCTCGCCCACTTCCTCGGCCTTCAGCAGCGACTACGGCGGCCTCTTCTCCAACTCGGCGGCGGCGGCGGGCGTGTCCCCGCAGGAGCCCGGCGGGCAGTCGGCCTTCATCTCCAAAGTGCACAGCTCGGCGGCCGAGAGCCTCTACCCGCGGGTGGGCATGGCGCACCCCTACGAGTCCTGGTACAAGTCGGGCTTCCACTCCACGCTCTCGGCGGGCGAGGTGGCCAACGGAGCGGCCTCCTCCTGGTGGGACGTGCACACCAACCCCGGCTCCTGGCTTGAGGTGCAGAACCCGGCGGGGGGGCTGCAGAGCTCGCTGCACTCGGGCGCCCCCCAGGCCTCGTTGCACTCCCAACTGGGCACCTACAACCCCGACTTCAGCTCCCTCACCCACTCCGCCTTCAGCTCCACCGGCCTGGGCTCCACGGCCGCCTCGCACCTGCTCTCCACCAGCCAGCACCTGCTCACCCAGGAGGGCTTCAAGCCCGTGCTGCCCTCCTACACGGACTCTAGCGCGGCGGTGGCGGCGGCCAGCGCCATGATCTCGGGCGCCGCCGCCGCTGCCGCCGGGGGCGGCTCGGCCCGCTCCGCCCGCCGCTACTCGGGGCGCGCCACCTGCGACTGCCCCAACTGCCAGGAGGCCGAGCGGCTGGGGCCGGCGGGGGCCAGCCTGCGGCGCAAGGGGCTGCACAGCTGCCACATCCCCGGCTGCGGCAAGGTGTACGGCAAGACCTCGCACCTGAAGGCGCACCTGCGCTGGCACACGGGCGAGCGGCCCTTCGTCTGCAACTGGCTCTTCTGCGGGAAGCGCTTCACCCGCTCCGACGAGCTGCAGCGGCACCTGCGGACTCACACGGGCGAGAAGCGCTTCGCCTGTCCCGTCTGCAACAAGCGCTTCATGCGCAGCGACCACCTGAGCAAACACATCAAAACGCACAACGGGGGCGGCGGGGGCAAAAAGGGCAGCGACAGCGACACGGACGCCAGCAACCTGGAAACGCCGCGCTCCGAGTCCCCCGACCTCATCCTGCACGAGGGGGTGGGCGCCGCCCGCGGACCGGGCAAGGAACCTACCGCGGGCCCCGGCGACTCCTAGGGGCAGCGCCGCCGGAGCCGCTCGGACTGTGCCCCGCGCCGGCCGGAGGGACGCCAGCCGCCCCGGGCCGCGGCGGGGGCGGGCCGGGGGACGGCGGGGCCCGAGAGGCGCGGCCCCCGTCCCGCCCGGCCACTAGGTACCGAGTGACACTTTCTTCCGTTTCCCTTTTCTCTTTCTCTTGGAAGGCAAGCATCCTAAGAGAGGCTTAAGGTGAGAAATACAGCTGCAACTTTGAGACGGTCCCTCTGTATCCCATAAACATCTGTATAAATAGGGTTCAAAAAAGAAGAAAAACAGGAAAAAAAAAAAGAAAACCAGATCGTGTTCCCTTATTTTTCTTGTAAATGTTGATCTGATAGGGGGGTTGGGGATTTTTTTTTTAAATTGGTGAATTCCTGAAATTCAGGGAGGTTTTGGGGTTTTGATTTTTTTTTTAATTATAAATTTCTGATGCACTTTGTGGAAGTCAGTATATATGTAAAAGATATTTAAAATGTTGAGTTAACACTTCACTCAAATACACGTAAGTTAAGGTCTCTTAAAGAAATTAAATGCGTTTATCTGTATGGAAAAAAATCTTGACATATTTTCATTTTGGTATTATTAAAGGACTCTGAACAATATACTCACGGGTTTGTTCTTCTTCGTGTCCCCTCCTTCCCCCCCGCCCAGTCCTCGCAGGGGTCACTTTTTGAGTAGGAGCCCTCGCACCCCTTTCCATCGTCCTCACAGTCACTGTGATTAAAAATACAGTCAGCAATGATATAGCTGGGAGGGGATGGGACCGGCCCCTGAGCCAGGCGCACTGAACCACTCTGCTCGCTCTTTTCAAGCCGCCTTTGCTTTGAGTTACTTTAAAAAACAAAACAAAAAACCAACAAATTTTAACAGAGTCCGAGCCCTGCTACAGCCAGAAACCATGCTGAGACCTAAGTGGCTTTGGTGAAACCGTCCCCAAAATCGAGTGCAGGCAAACTGCGCTGAGGAACTATTTATTTAATTTTAAAAGCCTTCAGCGCCACAAGGCTGCCTAGGCTGGGAGGTGATCTCGGGGGAATAAATCGCTAGAGTCAATACTCCGGAAAAGACATTTCATGCCTAAATGAAAATCTTGTTAAATGTTATTAATTTTGACTTAGAGCACACAGCAGCCCCCTGTGCCTTGTATTCCCTTATTAGGGATTCATGTCTTATCAAATATCTAATTAATCTCCTAGACATCATTTGTTCTGGCCAACTTTATCTCAGCTGGTCCGCGGGGAAAACTCCGAATATTCTCGGTGACAAAGCTCCCTTGAAGATCCTTTTAATTGTCCAAATTAACTGCACCAAATTTGCATGTCAAACGGTAAAGGGCAACCTAAGATAAAATGTAAACGTTTTAAAAGCCCCAAACTAAGCACTTGATTTGATAACTAGGCTTTTTAATGTTATGGAAGACAACTGCTCCTTTCCTTTTCAAAGACAGTTGATCTATGCAAATAGTGAATTGGAAATGCTTATGTCCCCATGCAGTCAAATGGTCCTTGCATGTTATTTGAATATCAGTGGCTTTGCTATTGAAAAGGTTCAAGGATGCTCTCTGACTTCTTTGTGATTACTCAGTGCAGCGTCTTATTCTTAAGAAAAAAACCTCAGGAATAATTAAAGGCTGGGCTAAGGCCTGGGAACACATTTGGGACAGGAATCTCATTTAGACAGGCTCTTTCAAAATAAGGCACAGTTAAATTGACCAGAAGGCAATTATTGAAATGAAAATTATTTTCACTCCCTTTGTCTCCTGACCACCAACCTAACAGCCACAGTATTTTTTAAAGGCAAATTGTTAAATGAGATAATTGTGTTATTAAAAAAAAAAGAGAAAAAGAAAAAGAAGAGGGTGAGGAAAAAAAAGTTAATTTACTCTGGCCGGTACAGATTGGATGAATACAAATATTTTAATCCTCCATAAAACAGGGAATGCAAATAGCATCGAGAAACGGATTCTGCTGTCGGCCACCAACTGGAATAAAGACGTTGCGTTAAAGAAAATACATCTGCCGTGAATACTAATAACCGCGTCCCACCTCCTCCGCGCCACTGTCGCACAAAAGCGGCCGGGCAGCGCCGGCACCGCCGGTGCCCCGGGGCGGCGGCGGGAGCCCGGCGGGCCGTTCCGCGGGCCGGGGGAAAGGAGCCTCCCGGGAGAGGCGCCTCGCCTCACGGCCGCCCACAGCACCTTCCCCGAGAGCCGCTCCGGAATTTTCCCGGCCAAAAGCAGCCCGGCAAGGTGTCTTTGCCCGGCGGCGGCGGGTTCCCCGGCGGGCAGGGCAGCGCAGGGCAGCGGGGACGCGCTCGGGCGGCGGGAGCACGGAGCGGGCCGGGGCGGGAGCCGGCTCTCCTCCCCGCCGGGCGGCCCGGGGGCTGCGCAGGAATGCACCCGCGCGGGGCGCTGGGCAGGAGTCAGCTTTGTTTTCGATTTATAATAAAACACATCAAAGGACACCATGCAGGTCCAGTTTCTGCCAGGCCGGGGTTACAATTCTCAGCTCAGTGATCAAGGACCTTTTTGCATTGCCTTTGCCCCTTCGGGTCAGAAAACGTCCATCACTTACAGACTCCCCAGAAACGAGGAAGGGAGCAGCTCTGGGCCGCAGAGCCGGTTCGTTTAACCAAGAAAATAGAAAGCGTGTCACCATTTTAAAAAATAAATGACACCATTCATTCGTAAATGTTGGAGATAATTATATGGTCTGGGGAACATCTACACAAAAAAATACCCAAAAAACAAAACCTAAAGAACAAACGGTGTGAGAACCCGAAAAATAAATCTGATTTCAGTCTTTGAATTCGTAGTTCACCTCTTCAGTAAGAGGACGCCAACCCGAGAGCGGGAGAGCACCGGGAACAGGACGGGCGCCCTGTCGGGCCCCGGCGGGAAGGGTGGCACGGGGGAAGCCGGGCTCCCCGCCGCCTTGGCCCCGCTCGCCCCGGGCTTGCCCGTCAGCTGAGCCTAGCTCCCATGGACAATCCCGGTCCAGCTATTGTTGCCCATTTCCACACCTCGCGGACAGCAACTTCAACCGTGCTCCGAGAGCCCGTTAAAACACGACAAACAACCAGCCAGCGACGGCAACCGCCACAGACGGGAGACGGTAAAATGTCAGGAAAAATTATCTACTAAATGACATTCGATCGCTAGGTCCCCCGTTCGCAGGAAGCGTGTCCCTTGCCCCCCGCGGCGAGTTACAGACCCAACGGCTCGTTTTACACTTAAAAGGTAACATTAATGTTTTTGTTATAATGAGATAATATATAAACACCCGATCTCGTGCCTGGACAGCCTCTTAATTGCGTCTTTTAATTCAAATGGAAACTTTATCTGCTGGAGCTGTAATTTATTTGCAGCCATTATCTGTTCGCCAGGATCCTCTCCCACCCTTCCAAAACGCAGATGAAGGGAAGCTAACAGACAGCCCGCCCCTTTGAGTAATTGCTGTGCTAAGTGCTTATTTTAAGTGAGAATAATTTAGCTACAAATTTCCTCAAGGAATAACATCCTTCACGCGCACACTACAAAAAGGGGAGCAGAACGGGACCGAGCGCGCACACCGGGACGCTCGCGGCGCTGCCCCGCGCGGGCCGCACGGCGGCTGCCGGGCGCCACCTAGAGGCGCTCCCGCGGGCCGGGGGCGCGGCCGGGGCGCCGCGGGGGCGGCGGCGCTGCGCGGGCCGGGCAGCGGCGGGGAGCCGGCGGCAGGAGCGCGGGGGCAGCGGCGGCTGGGGAGGGCCCCGGGGAGCGGGCGGGCTAGCGTGAACTTCTATGGAAGACGGCGGGGCGGCCCGCAGCGACCGAGCGCACACCCAGCCCGGGGCAGACGGCCCGGCCTCGCCGCTCCCCGGGCCGCCAACCGGAGGGACGGCCGGGCCCTCGACGGTCACCGCTCCGCGATCTCCGCGCGGCCCCGCACCTGTGGCCGGGCGCGGCTCCCGGCGAGCACCCGCCGGCGGGCCCCGGGCGCGGCTGTGCCGCTGCCGCCGCCTCGGCGCCGCTGTTGTTCCACAAACGAGCGGCAGCGCTGCTCCCGAGATGGGCTAATTGGTACCTGGCTGGCAGGGCGCGGGGTCCCTGTCCGCTCCCCGGCACAAAGTAGGCTGCTAGAAAATTTGAAATTGCCTTTCAGCCTAAAGCTGCCTCACCTGAATGTCATAATTACAGTAATTATGTACATCCAAATTACATGCTAATTAAATTAGAATCAAATCGTTCTAAATCGAAATCAAATGAGGTAGCGAGAATTAATCAATGACAACATAAATAGAGAGCTTCCTTCAGGGATATTTATTGTACCGATCCGAGCAGGAGCCCCATCTGGGAGTAACCCGTCTATTTACTTTCGGAGTAGCAATAATTTATTGCACGGCGTTAATTCTAAGCCATGGGTCCGGCGGGGCGGCGCACCCGAAAAGCGGCCCGGGACCCCCCGCCCGAAGCTCCCCGCCGCCAGGCCCGCGCCGAGAGCCGCCCGACGGCCCCGGCGGGACCGGGACCCCAACCCGACGCAGCCCCAAGCCCTCGGGACAAGCCGCAGAACAGAGCCCGGCAGAGCCGCTCGCCCGCTCCAGGAGAGCCGCCGGGCCCCGCTCCGACGCCGGCGAGTCCCTGCCACGGGCCCTGCCCTCCCCGCCAGGCTGAGGGAACCACCTCACGGCCCCCGCCGCCCAGCTCCGCAGAAGGTTAACGCTATTCCATGGCTCTTACAAAAATAAATAAATAAGGGAATAGCGACACCGCTGGAGCTGCTCTTACCTCCATCCGCGGAGCGACAGCACCTCCTGCCGGGCCCCACCGGCGCTGCCGAGAGCCGCGCTCGGCCCGGGGCGGTGGCGCCCCATGGCCGGGGCGGGGCCGGGCGCGCGCAGCCGCCCCGCGCCGCGGGCGGTGCTCGTGAGGGCAGCGGGCAAACAGCGCCTCGGGCCTGCCCCGGACCGGCCTGGCCCGGCCCACCTCCGCTGCCCCGGCCCGGCCCGGCCCCGCTGCCCCGGCCGGGCCCCCTGTGGCGA